ATTCGAAACAGTTTATTTAGTTTTGTTTATTCGTTTACATTTGTTTTGATTTTTTCGAAAAATTTTCAGAAACGATATTTTTCTAGATACTTACTACATTTCAAGTAAGGAAGGTAGTATCAGTCGTGTCAATGATTTCCATATCAATGATTAAGGGTTGTTTGCTGTGACAAATTCAGGAGAACCTTCCGCGTCCGTGTTGATCGGGAGACAGGATCAGCTGAATATGAAGGTAGGAATGTTAATTCATCAATATTTCCCAAGACTCATCGATTTTTATTTTTGCTCACACCTGCCGGCCGTTACGAATTGATCAACGACGAAGGAGTTCTGACTACTGGAGAACACGGTAATCCGGCTAATCGATACCAGTATAATTATTATATCGATGTTGTTCAATTCATGGAATCTCGTGGATTACCATAGAAAAATACGTTCATTCCGTCGATCAATAACGATTCACGTATTGAACTGGATCTAACAAGTCCCCTCGGATTCTTTGTAATTATGCCATTGGGGAAAAATGTATGGACGCGGGTGAATAACCAGATACGTGTTGCAAGTAAATCCCCGCGATCTGCACGCTCGGTGACGACATTTGCATCACCTGTTCGTCGCGCTATATTTAGACACTTGTGATGTAGTAAATCTCCGGATGATTCATTGGCAATTTTGTCGACGTGTTCGGGACTTCTTCGCGTTCGAATTGTCTTGTTTTGTCGCTACACCGATCAAAACACAGTAAACCCACTTGTGTGTAAAGACGATGAGAAATTTGTTCGTAAATAACTTCAATTTTTTTTTTGTTCTTGTTCATATTCAGAATATTTTCACGGTCGATACTGCGTGTACTATCGAAGTCGAACTCTCTCGGTTCTACAATGCGGGAGATCACTCTGGGACTGACGGGCTAACAATGAGCGTGTCAATGGCACGAGGGGCACTCTGTCAGAGCACCGAGAGGATTTTAATAATTACGAGGGCTCGGCTTGCGGTGTTCGACCACAGACAACTTCGGTAGATTCGGAACACAAATGACCTGTGACTGCCATAAGTACGCGACAGTTAATTTTACAATACCATATTGTATAGTCGTGCAATATCAGTATGTGGAGGAGCATTTCTGTAAAATGTGAAATGTATCAACGTCATACTAAAAATGTAAAATAAACTTAAGGGGTGTCCCAACTTTGACGGGTCGAAAGAATCGATTTTTTCTTTTTCACATTTTCTCAAGGCTTAATACTTTAAAACCATAATCCCAAAAGAATTTTGCCTGATTCGAAATAATAAGGAAGTTATTAGCTTTTAACCAAAGCGGCGCGCCGCGGCATGCAGGTTCAAATCGAAACTTTATACGCGTTTTTTCTGAATACGACATTTTTATAAATGGCTGCCACGATATCTCAAAGACTATTTGTCGGAGTGACTTGAAATTATGTAGGCATATTCATTAGGTGCATAGTTCTCTCATGTATTAGAATGAAGTTGATATTTGCAAAATTCGAATATTGCAATTTGAAAATTTGAATACGCGAAAATCGGTACTTTTCTGCAAGACTGCCATTTTTTTTATTCTTCAATATTTTTTCGTCATTCTAGTACTGGCGATACCCACGTTCACACAGATTAAGAATCATTCTCAATTGTTTATTTGAGATAACGTAGACTTTTTCTTAGGCAACCCCGGAAAATTACAATAACTTTTAATCTGTACTACATTTTCAAATGAAAAAAGTCAAGTTAACCTATTAATGTATACGAATTCATAGAGAAAAGTTTAACATCGATATACCTCATAGTTCTTTCTACAAAAATTCCTGAATTTAGATCCCTTAAGAAATACATTAGATACTAAACATCTTAATACTTGTAAAATGTTTAATGCAATGTATTTGATTGCGGTATACAACGTTGTAGAAAATTAGAGAACCGAACTGGATGACTAGTGTTGTCTCCTAAAGGTTTTATTTTAGTAAAGGGAGGGTTAGTACCCTTGAATAAAATAAAACCACTACGAAACGCTAAGTGTTAATCAAGGAAAAGCCTTTTGGAATTTATACCGTGTGGTGATAATATTTGAGGTGAATATTATAACAAACAACAATTAAAGAAGTAACGTAACGATAAATTATGAAAAACTGTTATATCAGTTATAAAAATCTCTTTTTCTTTTTATGTATCAAGTATACATCTCTCGAATATACATAGTTGCAGCTACATAATTGAACAACCAATTTGCATACTGGCGTGTATTTATGATTCTCAAATACTAGCTTAGAATCATTATTAATGGACCAACCGAGCGCCTTCCGATCGAACACATAACATTAACCATTAACCTGTCTATTTACAGTTAAATATAATCTAAATATTTACTAGTTCTGACAACTTCTGTCACCATTCATTTAGACGGAAGTGATCGACGATATATCTATTAAAACATCGGCCTCAATCTAACGTACCTATATGTATTTCGCCAGTAAGAAACCAGTTCGCGATTCGACGGCATTCCACCAATGACCTACGATTTCATTTGGGCCGATTTGTGTCCAATGTTTGTCCTTGACTCGGCGTATATCCTATCAATTCGTGGCTCTCCGAGAGGACGTTAGGTGACAAGGAAGTTCTTTCACTTTTACGTGTCTGACCAGAAGTACCGGTACACAGGTTTTAGCACTTGTTTGTGGGTTAACACCTTGAGAACAGGTGCCTTTCACACGAAACTTAGCGAAAGCGACCGTTGTAATATTAATAACTAATAATGTTAGTAATTTAAATAATTAACGGAAGTACTATTAAGAAACGTTGCCTTTGCACTGCGCCAAAACACGATTTTACAGTACATCTCACAACAATAAAACCATCTTAAAATTTTGATCGAATCAAGTATATCGTTTGTTGCAGGGTATTGAAAGGCAGTATTCCACTACAAAGAGAAACTGAAAAGACTATGAGAAACTGACAAGACTATGAAACAGTTTTGTTAGTTTAACCAAAAAGTAATCGATTTCTGCAGTAGATGTTTTTTTTTTCGTTTTATAGTTTTTTTATTTCGATACGAAGCATTGCTCCTAATTAATAAACTATATTGTACATATTGTAAAAGTTGCCACTTCAACGTATCGCACAGTGAGCCAAATAGCAATTCTGGCGACGAATAAATAAAAAACTGAATATTCTTAGAATCGGAAAATTTCGGTTTTACTTGCGTCTTAGGTAGTCAGTGACTACCTGTCTATCATAAAATTGTAGGAGATCTTATGGGACAGGCGGTGTGTGGAGACGTTTCTCCTATTCGCCTGGGTTTTTGGTAGCGGCCGCTAGGTGGCAAGTTATCTTGCAAGCGGGGGGCTCCGCTGAGGAGCAACTTGATGGGACACCAAGTCGGATTCAAGTCGATCAAGTCAGATGACGTCACACGACCTCGGCTCGCGGCGACGGTATCTAATCCCTATAAGCCTTCGACGACCGACGCTCGGGTTAGAATGTAACACACAGAACGAATCACCCATGAATAAAAATTTAAACTTTTACTCCTTTCAGTGTACTTTCTTTACAATGTTATGAATAAATGTAGGAGATTCTCCTGATGAAAATAAGTCCAAACCCGACATAAATCGGACTATTTTTAAGAACATACAATTTGTATCGCGACAGAGTGTATGAGTAAACATTTAAACTTTTACTCCTTTCAGTGTAGTTTCTTTAAAATGTTCTGAATAAGTGTAGAAGATTCTCCTAATAAAAATAAGTCCAATGTTTAAAAAGTCCCAATTTTAATCGATTTTCCATGGAATGATCCTCATAGTTATTAGCCCCATGTTGACACTTCTAACAGTTTTATTTTTCTAAAAAGAAACCGATGGAAAATTTAATCCATGCGTTTTGGAACTTATCAAGCCAAAATTCAAGTCAAAATATTATTAATCATTGTCGAAGTTAGTGTTTCATCGTGTTGGGCACATGTAAATCTACCACAAATCCGCAATATCACTAGTAGTAACTAATAAAATTGAAAAAATGTTCCTCGAAAAGAACTTTTAAATCTGAAAAAAAAAACATTTTTATTTTCTGTAAGAATTCTTTGCCTTCTGGAATGAAATAAATGAAGTAAGAATCAGACTTTATTGCACAAAATTGAAATGTATGAAAGAACTCGATTCTATCCTGTACTGAACATTAACGTTATTTACAAGCAATGCAAGCCAAATGACATAAGCGTTACTTGGTAACGAAGTTATCTCAGAAATTACGATCATTTAGTTTCCTTGAAATATTTTTTATTTTCTTTTGAGATAACAGTACGGTTACCGTAATTGGTGTTCAATTGCTTGTAAATAATTTTCTGATTATTTCCTACATGTTCACTTCATTGCTCTTGAATTATAAGGAATCCGTTTGTAATGTTCAGTCAACAAAGTTTATCAACATAATGAAATAAAGGTAAATATGTATTTAGTATTTATTGATCTGATGATTTGGGTATACAATCATTATACGATCCGAATTGCAATTTTCTGGTTGGTATATACAGATTTACACTATTGTTCACGAATATTCGAACACTTTCGTACTTTCGATAGACTACCCTTCGAATATTTTCCTGTATTGGTGTCTACAATAGAATAACATTATACATTATCTGCGAAACATAAAGAATTTATTTGTTATTTGAAAAATCCTTCACCTTCGGATTGCATCATTTATAAAAATCTGATAGGCAGACTAAATCGTGCATTCAATTTTGATACACATTTGACAAGCTTTTTTAAATAAGCAATTTAAATTTCTAATCTGTTTAGACTGTAAGAAAATAACAAGTTGGTTTGATTCGTTAATTTACATATTTTTATCCACAGTTACTGCTGTTCTACCAGGTATCCAAATACGCGTGACCAACAGTGTCGAGTACGCAAAGCTATAGAGGCCGCGTGTTTGTTTATGTGACATTGTCTCTTTTCGTTTCCATATCTAGTACAGCGAGTAACATTAGTGAATGCGCAACTCATCGTTCGTCAATTGATTCAAGGTATACGTGATACGAATCACATTTCCCTTTTACGCTTTGGAACTGATAAGTGCATCGATTTCAACAAAATGATCCCGATAGTTGGAGTGGCGGTCGTAGTTGGTATAATAGCAGCTTGTGTTGGACCACTTTACTATTGCAAAACATCGAATAAATTTCATGGTGAGTGTGACAACAAACGAGAATCTCTAATCATTTTCAAGATATTGTGGTAAATAGTCTTATAATTGCCCGATAAATTTGAACAACCTCCGTGTTTGAATGTTCGTCTTATACTAATGTCCGCAGTAAATACATCATCAAAGATTGCATGCTCATCGTCACGAGTACCTACCGTTTATGTTTTGACGGTCTCAAAGTCGTTCATAGATAGAGTACGAGTGTAGGTGTAATTGTAAGAACAATTACGAGCTGTTGGTTATTTAGTTTAGTTAGGTTACTTAGACTTAAACTTTCGTCCGCTACTGTACACCTGTTTGCTCGAATAAGAACAGTGTGCTTGTTAAACGGGAACGAATTTTTAGACAGAAGCGAGACGATCGAGAGCGAATCGCCTATGATTCATATCAAGTTATTGTATCCGCATCGAGGTCAGCTCTCGCACGACACCCTCTCGGATGCTTACGACAGTAGACGGAATTCTATCGATTCGAATGATGCTAAGGAAATGAAGCAGGTGGTGCAAGAAACGAAACCGGTTCCATCGAAGGAAACACAAATTGTTCCTGTGAAACCACCCCGTCGTGACCGACGCAGGTACTGACTTTCTCAAACATAAAAATGTATATTATGTCCAAATTCCATGAGAAACTGCTTTAAATTTCTCAGATACATCTCATATTTCCTTTATTTCAATGACATTTATTCATCAACATTTTTCTGATTTGCAAAAGCGTAAGTTTCAATTCCTGAGAGTTCTATATGAATTCCGTAATTGCACAAAATGGGTCGATTCGTTGCATTTTTAATCCAAGGAACTGACATATTGACAAAGAATAAAAATTTTCTAATTTTGCAATGTTCTATTTTATTATTTTCTATGATTAAATATTATTCCTTGCATTCATAATCATGACTGAATAATATTTTTAGTTTGATATCTATTAATTCGAGAAATATTTTAGAGTATCGGCGAACATGTGGTCGTCTGCGTTAAAAAACCAGTTGGACCAAATCACAAACGAGTCTACGGATGTGTCTGGTGGAACTACGAAAATTATGCGTGCACAAATCGAAGTGAACCCTTCTGCGCCGAGTAACCAGGAGGCTTCTGACTCGCTTGGGTATAAGTCACTTCATCCTGGTGATCGGATCTCACCGGAACTGGTCGACGGTCAGAGTCATACGAACGATGAAAGAGCGAGGAGACTGTCATCGGCTGTTGTAAAGAAGTGGAAGAATCTGAAGAAGAATTTAATGTGCTCGAGGTTGTTTACTAATCAGTACCTGTATTTGGAAAACACAACATTCTATTAGGTCCACCGATAAATAATTCATTATACATATTTCGTCACCAAATTGGCAACATAATTTAAACCTAGAACACCTTTTCGCAGTTATATTTTTAAAGCTGGCTGCTAAACATAGTGGATTACTTACTGGTACCGATACCGATACCACCGTACATGCAACGGACATCCGTGTCATGTTCAGTTCATATTCGATTCTCCTACGTCCATGTTTAACATCCCTAGGATGTGCTCAAGACTTCAATTTCGGATGTTCTAGGAATGTCTGTTTCTTAAATCTTACGAATATTCTTACGACTTATGTTTCGGATGTTCTAGAAATGTCCGTCTCGAAAGTCCTACGGATGTTCTTAAGACTTAAATTTCGCATGTTCTAGGAATGTCTGTTTCTTAAGTCTTACGAATATTCTTAGGACTTATGTTTCGGATGTTCTAGAAACATCCGTCTCGAAAGTCCTACGGATGTTCCCAAGACTCAAATTTCGGATGTTCTATAAACGTCCGTCTCGAGAGTCCTACGGATGTTCCCAAGACTTAAATTTCGGATGTTCTATAAACGTCCGTCTCGAGAGTCCTACGGATGTTCCGAAGACTTAAATTTCGCATGTTCTAGGAATGTCTGTTTCTTAAATCTTACGAATATTCTTAGGACTTATGTTTCGGATGTTCTAGAAATGTCCGTCTCGAAAGTCCTACGGATGTTCCCATGACTTAAATCTCGCATGTTCTAGGAATGTCTGTTTCTTAAATCTTACGAATATCCTTAGGACATATGTTTCGGATGTTCTAGAAACATCTGTCTCGAAAGTCCTACGGATGTTCCGAAGACTCAAATTTCGGATGTTCTATAAACGTCCGTCTCGAGAGTCCTACGGATGTTCCCAAGACTTAAATTTCGGATGTTCTAGGAATGTCTGTTTCTTAAGTCTTACGAATATTCTTAGGACTTATGTTTCGGATGTTCTAGAAACGTCCGTCTCGAGAGTCCTACGGATGTTCCCAAGACTTAAATTTCGGATGTTCTATAAACGTCCGTCTCGAGAGTCCTACGGATGTTCCGAAGACTTAAATTTCGCATGTTCTAGGAATGTCTGTTTAAGTCTTACGAATGTTCGTAGGATTTAAATGTTTAATGGTTTCGTTTCGTAATTTTGGCCCAATTTCATTCCGTGCAAGGTGTCATTCTTAGAAAATCAATAGAGAAGTGTAACGACACTGGTGGTTTTGTACGGAAACCTCAGGAAATTTGAAAAACATTTGTTTACTCAAACTGTCTTTAACCAGCACAGAACCAGTATTTTGCTTTCAATCAGATAAATAAAAAAAAATACAATGTACACACAGATCATACCCCCCAAACCTATATTTTTATTATAATTCCTTATGGGAAATTTAACCTTTTATTTATTAACAGAAACTACCTTAACTACAACCTTGCAAACCACAGCTAGTTGAGACATCTCCCACCTCCAATGACATGAATCGAATATTTAACATAAACCCTACGATGTCATTTAATTGCTTCGATGCCAGTTTAAGTGGTAAAAATTCCGATATTTATTGCTATCTATCTCACAAACCCGGAGTTTCCACACAAAACCGTATGCATGTCAGTCGACTCTCCTTTTCACGTAGAATTGACCGAGGTATCTCATTCCAAAAAGTTCTAACTTTATAAAAAACCGCACGAACTTATTGGACAACCTAATACAATCTGATTTCCCCACGTCTGCAACATGTTAACATAGAAAATTTCTTCCTAGGACCAAGAAAGCCATGATATTAAGAGATTCCGAAAGCGACGAGACACAAAGACTTAACCTTCCGGTTCCAGCTTCCGTCCAGCGTGCTCCAGCGGCGCAATCGACGATGCTTCAGAAAACTCGACTGGTTGACGTGTCGACATCGACCCGAATAAGCGGTAACATTCAAACCGACCAATATTCTATGAAGCAGAACAATAACAACGAGAACAACGAATCGAGAATGCGGTCCTCCGATCAGGCAAATCCAAGACCAGAAGCGTTAGACGGCATGGTGTCGTTGATAAAACGTCGATCCGTAAACGGAAAGTCGATCGTCGACGTTAGGATCGATGGTCTGGTGATGAATCAGTCGGAATTATTGGATCTTTTCGAAGTAACCAGGAGCAAAAGTCGTTCAGCTTCCATCGTGACGACGGAGGAAGCTTCGATAATCTCCATCAAATTCCATCGACGCAGGAACAGTACCGAGTCGATGCATAGCAAAGATAATTCCTTCCTCGAGGACTCGTTAGTGAAGTTCCAGAAAAGTATACTGGAAGTGTTCAAGGATCTATCGTTCTCCAGATTGTTCGGATCGCGTGAGCAATCGAGAAATTCGAATCCTGCGACTCCGTCTATTCAGATCTCGAATTATACGAGAATGTTATACGGTTCTAGAAACGAAACGTCGTATAAAAAATATCATTAAGATATAGAGGACCTTCCCCAGTTGGGTCCACGAGCAAAGGACACTCCTGCTCGATGGTAAAGATTACCTAAGATTACTTAAGATTTTCTCGAAGGAAAGCCGTACGGCATATTCTAAGAACAATTCATTTATTGTTCGTTTCCGCGAATCAGAACAGGAATCCTTTCAAAGATTCTTGATTCAGTTCGCAGTACCGGGAATTAATATGTTGTTAATACAGCGCGCGCACGGGGGTTTTTGCGAAAATTCTTGTGATCGAAGTGTCGCGTTGGCAGTCTGTAATTAATAAGGAAGAAGACGATTTATGACTCGAACGTGGAAATAATAATTAATCGGATCGACAGAATTTACACTTACACAAAAATGTTTTAGTCTGTGACAATAACGATCGCATCGATGTTGTGTTCACTCCATTGTTAATACGTGCAGTATTTATCCCCATAAAATTAAGATTTCTAGTCCATTGTTAATACGTGTAGTATTTATCCCTATAAAATTAAGATTTCTAGTCCGTAGTTAATAACAATCGAATAAATGTGAACCTTGCATTGCTTAAGAGTGTAAGTTAATGAACTTTTTATTCGTGTACGACCATATTAATATGAACGTTTGATCGACGATTTTCATAGTTTTACGTGATATTGTGACAGGAACTGTAATTAACGAGAATTGTTCGTTAGCGATAATGTGATTTCTACTGTAAGAAATGAATAAATAAAATGAAAGTGATTTTACGTAAAGGGAATGGCTAGAATGTTACCTATTTCGTTATTTTCAATTCCTCGTTTCTTCTAGGCTTCATCGGGCAACCTTAAGCGTAATACCTGATACACTTCTTTTTCCAACGTTCTGAGAAGATTAATTAATCATCTTTATTGCAATGTCAGTAATGCTAGGTAATAATTGAAACTAGAATTTTCCTTTTTTCTCGAAGCTTAATGGTTCTTATGTAAACTTCTGTGGTAGTTCGATTTAATTGATATTTAATTGCCAGAATACCTACAGTAGCACCCAATTCCGATAAAACAAATGCTGTAATTGTCACTGAAGCAACATGTGAATTGTTCCTACTTGAATACATACAATCTTATAGTGTACTGTGAGACCAACCGTCAGAAAAACATTTTGCAACCACTTCCATTGTTTGTACTATAAACACCTGTTTTATATGATAATAACTTTCTAATCTTCTCTTCTTTATTAATTTACAAATTCATTAGAATGAATTGATGTGAAGAATGAATATAACATGGATTAACATCAATCATTCAAGAAAATTCAACGACTCTGTTCGTCGCTAATGATCATTGACACCATCTGATAATACTGACAATGCAATAGACACTAGTTTCTTACACAGTAAACACGCATAACAGCGACAAAAAAGATCGAAGCCTCCGGTGTGTTCTATAGCATCCACGTGCTCAAACGATTCAGAGATTTATTGTCCGAGAAAGGACATCAGTATAAATATACTAGGGTGGATCTTAGTTATACTTGGTAAAAATTTTTTTGCGAGATTTTTTTCACGCCGCCCCCTAAAATTGTTCCATTGGGTAATTTTAGATGCCTAAGTGAAACATAAATTTCAGCCTCTGACGGTCAGAGTCTGGCCATCCTCCTTTACACCAAAACCTGACATATTATGACATATTTAACAGCGGTGAACAGAAATACCTAACCTTAACTTTCTTAATACTTAAACTTAACCCTAGGCAGCGCGACGTGTACGTACACCGACGAGCAAACTCGGCTTCCCCTAGGGGAAAAAGTGGAGTTGGCGAAGGGCCTGCTACCATTTAGTTTTGGGAGTTGCTGAAATTTATATCAAATTAACATTCGGTTTAACATTTATTTCAGTACTTGAAATAAATTTACTAAGTGGTAGGAGACTTTTCTTCTACGTCACTTCTTCCCCCAACAGAAGCCGAGTTTGCTCGTCAGTGTACATGCGCACCACAATTTCTAAATGCGCACGCAACCATGGACTTAAAGGACGGTGTCTTGTTCTACGGGGACGGCCGAAAGACGGAAAGGGAATCGACCGTCAGCCATCCTGTGAGGCTAAATTTGTAATGCAGTCTGCAGGCGAATTTAATTATTAATATTAGCGTGGCTTGGCGTTACTTGGCGTGTTTTGAAGTACATTTGATTTATTTATAAATCTAATTATAAAAATGCCATCTTGCATTGTGAAATGTAAAACTGTATAATCATAGAATACACCTCGTAAAATGTATCATACAATAATATGTTACAGTAAGATACCACCATATGTCTAAACAAAGTGAACATCACACAGTAAAAGATTCTATTTTAATAAACTTGTCTTGTTTTCTCGTCACTGAATGTATTGTGGTATTATTGACCCTATATATTAAAACTTCAGAGATGTATATATTATTATGAAAATAAATATATATATTACTTATAAAACATATCCTTGATGATAAAACTTAACACGTAGAGACAAAATTATTATCCGATTTACAATTAACTTAAAGCATATTTGCCGCGGTATGATCTAGGTGGCAGCACTTTGTTAGCGGCACAATATGGCTGAACATGGAATACCATACCCTCCCCTTAGATCATCCTCCCGCGCCTAAAAGTCTATTTTATGCACCTATAGGTCCATACACACAGCCCATATACAGCCAATCATCAATGCCGCTCAAAATATCAAACCGGCCTTCTTCCGCTTTCAAACATTATCCCGGAAATGCCTATCTCAGTTTCCACCCCCTGGTTGCCTCCCTGTCCCCCGCGTGACAGCGCTGCTGGCGTCTACATCGCGTAAAACTTGCAGTATTTTTATAACTACGATAACTAAGATGTACATCTATTAATGTAAGTTAATACTAATAAACAAACTAATGAAAACATAAAAGATCGGAAAGTTTAAGGAAGACAATTTTTTACGAGGCACAAAGCACAAACCTTTACATTAAAAATCACCTTCATTTCTAATTACCTTAAAACATCGTAATACAGACTGAACTTGGTCGCTAATGATCGATATATGATAATCGATGTGACGTGAAATAGGAGAAAAGCCAAATTTTATACTGTAGGTTTTATTTACACTTGGAATCATTAATTACCCCGTTATATTAAGGATCGTAAAAGAGCAGAATTTATCTTACTTTCGTGGTATATTCCGAAGGACAATAGTTAAAAGAACCTCGTTATTCGTTGTTTTTTCCAACGATTTCTGCGGTTGCACGCTATAATGATGCTTCCTGTTCCGGTTCGCAATAAAACAACCGATCAACCAGCCAGTTGCCGATAAGACCCTACTACAAATGTTTCTTTTTTTTCTTTCTTTTTTTTCGTGTAAAATATCAATGCCCGCGAACGTGACCTTCTCGCGCGATCACGTCAACGTCATCTTCGTGGAAGTCAGATAGGAAGTCTGGTCGAAAAACGATGTGGACATTCCCCTTCGATGTACCCATATTTACCGTGAATCGGATTCACCGCGGTCACGTGACATTCGTACGTGATGTCGTCTCGATGCCAGATTTAAAATTCGGACAGATGATCGAAAACAATTTATTATGACTAGTCTGTAGATGCTTATGCAAATATGGAATTTTATGGATTAGTTTCTCGAAACTGGACGCGTAGACGAATTTACTTGTCTTGTTAAGGGTTCAAATAGGTTCAAAATAAAAATAAAATCAGCATAAATTTTCTGAAACTTTTCAGTATATCCTGAACTTTTGAAAGATCGGATGTTTTATATGTGCATAAAATCTGCAGTTTAATAATGACTCACAAAATTGTTCCAAATAACCATAAGAGGAGAATTGACTTTAGAAACGGTTACGTTAGATACGTTTTTTTTCCCAGTTGTTGGATTACGGATTCAATCACAGACGAGATATAAGAATGGACCTAACATGCAATATAATTTTCTGTCCTATGCTTCGAGGGCGTCAGAAGCCCCCGTGTACCATTTCAGTGTTCCATTCCTTGTAGCGAAACCGGGGCGATAATGCGTGTGTGATCGCTATATGTATGCAGTCACGGGTGTATGTGCTGTGCGTCATCACGGTGTCGAACATAGTTCCTGAAGTCGGAAATATTTATGTAGAGTGCGCTCGGCTGGAACCAGCGTAATTTTCGTGGGACAGCAAGTCCCATAAGATGATAGATCTATTCTTATATGTCGTCTGTATTTCAATGCATGCACAATATACGTGAATATGTAGAACGGAATAAAATAAAAAACTTCTTGGATATTCAGAAGTGTTTTTATTTCATTTTTAGTACAATGAAAATGTTCACTAAACGGATAAGATTTTATTGTATTTAGTCCCCCTTCTGTTAGATTGATTAATAAATATTTGAAGTTGCATAGTCATGGACAGATTATTTATTATGCATATTACGAATGTCCTATGTTTATGGGAAATGCAAGCGTTCAAAATTCAATTCATTAAGGACTTTAATAAAGTTTAAGAACACTTTTCCTTTACTTTCATTTTGGAATTTCTAATGTAATAACGAAATGAGTCACTGTTTTTACAAATCAGCCTATAACATCTGCATTTGTATAAACATTCGCAATTTATAGCCTCGTAAAATTGTGCATATGTGAAAGAAATTTGTCATCGTATCTATTGGTCGTGTAAAGACAAATGGTTAGATATGTAAAAAGTTAATCTTTCGTTACAATTAAATTAATGCACGACGACATTGATTACTTCATTTAGCAAAAAATATTTCTAATAAAAAGCACTATGTGTATATACATTTATGACTATTAGTATGAATGACTGATATGGTAACACTTACATTAGGTAATAATGTATTTTCTACAATGTCATCATTATTACGTAAATGTTGAGTTCATGTATTCATTTCGAGTTTTTAGTAGCACAGCAAGATTTCTTTATTGAAATTAAGTTAATTATTCCATTTTTATGGAAACAATGTTTAATGATTGATGTGTAGAGTGTTTATATACACTTTTTTATGCATATAATTCAACA